ACTGCTCCAACAGAAGGCTCCATAGAAGATGGCTAATGCCACAACAGAGTGATGGAAGGTCTTTAGGAGTGGAGTGGGCTCATTCAGCTGCATACCATGAATTAACACTGTGATGTTTACTACTTTTACTTGTATTTCAAAAGTAAAAAGCATTTATAGCTTTAAAATATGTTGTTATAACTAATGATTAAAAAAATATAACAAGGCATAATAAACAAAGGCAGAACTGTCATCCAGACCTAGCCTACGGATGTAGAGCCTATGATGTAGGAGCTTTTCGCCTGCCATGTGAAACACTGTCACTCACCAGGCAAATTCCAAGGCGAGCAACAGCAGACAGAACCATCAGATTAGACATCTAATGTGAACCCGGGCGCAGACCAGAGTGATACGGTGCATAGTGTGATGGTATCACTCCTGTCCCATGTTAGATCCAAGAAATGTATTCAGTTTAATGTTGAACACATTGATGATGGGACTGATGGAATGATGTTTAGAGGAAATATCCTGCTTTTGTCTGACATTGAAGGTACTCCTGGATCAGTTCTTCTGCTGTGCTATTAAACCCTCAGACAGTCGTTATGACTCAGAACAGAGGACCCAGTATTCGAGGCAAGACGGACAGTATTCGAGCGTTTATTAAAAACATCGGAGTAGCAGCGGCTAGGGCATCAATGGCTGGAGCCTCTGCAGGAGAGAAACACAGGTTAGTGCCCATGATAATCTGATGGAGGATGATTATCCATGAGAGTCATTAAGTTGGTTTACAAGTCCAGCCATGCCCAGAGAATGAGGCAGGATCCAGCCAGTGGACTGCCAACAAGATGCAGCAGACACCACCCAGAGTGTTGCTCCAGCCCTGTAGAACAGGAAGGAGTTGAAGCCAGGTCAGGCAAACAGATCAGAAAAGGAACTGGCAGGCTCAGTGGTTGTGAGGCAGAACACGTCAGGATCAGGTATTCAGAAACACTAAGGCAGTGCCAAAAACCTACTCACCACTGAGATCAGACGGGAACAGGCAGGCTCAGTGGTTGTGAGACAGAACGGGTCAGGATCAGGTATTCAGAAACACTCAGATAAGATGAAAACACTCTAACCGCTGGCATAGGAGAACAAGATAATCTTCCCTGATAAGTGGATGCAAGCACATTAAATAGAGGCAGGAGCAGGTGGATCAGAAGAGCAGCGATTAGAAACCATGCAGAGTTGGACAGATGAATGGCATAAGTAATTAAGCCAGTCATCAGTGCCAAGTTCATGACAGTCGGGTCAGAACCTAAAGCCACACATGTATGTGTGTATAGAGGTCTCTGTCCAGAAGAGCGCAGTCCTAGGAACAGCTAAGATACTGAACAGAACCCTCAAACTCCCAGGCCTCTGGTAGAGGACCCGAGCTTGAGGATGACACATACCACCCCACGAGGGGTGAGAAAACAGTTTTTTATATATATATATATATTAGGGCTGCAACAACGAATCGATAAAATCGATAAAAATTGACTTTTAAAAGTGTTGGCAACGAATTTCATCATCGATTA